TTCAACTCATTACTACAATCACTTTTTCTAATCACTTATTTTTCGTTTATTTTATCTTAATCAAAACCCCCCATATTTTGTTATTGTATTTGATTATTCCTACAAGAATCCTTGTGAGACGATATTCCGAGTCACTGTCGTTTTACTGCATTTTCCTAAAATTACTCGTTTTTGATCCGCGAGCGACCGCGGATCAACCTCCCATTTGTAATTGGATATGTCTTTTTTAACTTGAACATTGGTACTTCATTCTCCTAACTCCACTACTATCATCACTCTCACCCCCACTTTTTAGATCCCCACTTTCATTATCACTCCCTTTAAATTCTTCTTTGTTTTCTTCCCACTCTTCTTTGCCTTTTTTGGTGTTCCCCTCTTGATCATCTTCATTCACATAGTCAATTAGATTAGCCATTTTATCTTCCTTAACCAATTCATCATCATACTGATCAGATTCATCATCAATGCTACCTTCACTGCACTATCATAATTGAAGCTCTCATCCTTAGTGTCATCAGAACTAATATCATAATGCACTTCACCCCCCATACCCATTGTCATCATTTACCTCAGTTTCCCTTGCCTTAGTTTCCCTTGCCTCAGTTTCCATTGTCTCAGTTTCCTTCATCTCAGTTTCCTTCATATCAGTTTCTTTCAATTTAGTTTCCCTTGCCTCAGTTTCCTTCATCTCAGTTTTCTTCAACCCTTATTAATTATTTCTTCATACATTACATCAAACACTTTTCACTCTCATCTACAATGTTATTGTGATATACTTTTATCTCATCAAGGGGACCATCATAATACTCAGGCTAAGATAATGTGTGTTGAATATAGATATCAACACTAAGATTCACCCTATATAGATCAGCAACCTCTAAGGCATATCTGTCATCAACCAACACATTCATCCCAAATGTGGGATCCCTATAATATATTTTCTCTATGGAACTATAACCTAACTCCTTAAAACAACCTAACAACTCTAAATAACTCCACCTATCAACCTCTATTTTCAAATCAACCACCCCTCCTCCTTCGTACACACTAAATTCCTCATCAATAAATTCATCATTGTGATGGATTTTTAGATATAAATGTTAATCCATTTCAAACTATGCCCTAAAATAGAAGCGAAGAAAAAGATGGATTTCAGAAAGATTACATAAACCCTAAAACTACAACATTTAAAATTTGTAGAAAAATCACTTTAAACACACCTCTAGTCAACAATAAGGTCTTCGATTTTACCTTCAACAGACATTTTCTCTTCAAATCACAGCTGGTGCACCTTCAAGAAACGCCAATGGCTCCATTAGGGTTTGATGCAAGTGTTCTGAGTAACTCAATTCATCTCACTTTCTTTTTGAAGGTTGTACACTTAAATTCCATATGAGCGAGAGATTCCACATCAGCTACACGTGGGTGTCAGTTGTACATTTATATTGACTTTGACTAACGGGGTAAATAAAATAGATGAGCATGACACTATTTGAACAATTAAAGGATCAACTTTACCCTTTTTAAAATTGAGGGACCAAAATGGACCCCGAGGTAAAGTTAAAGGACCAAAAAGAGTATTTTTCCAATAATGAACCAATAATTGCAAGTAACTTTTAGTTATCACCCATATACCCAAAATGATAAAAACGGTTTCCGTTGAGTACAACGTATGTGAGGGATGCTAATATATTCCTTTTGCATAATCGAATCTCGAATCTGCTCTTGGTTGCGACAACCATTCATTTTCCTTTTTTGTCGTGGGATTTTATTGATATTTTCCCTTTCCTTTTAGAACAAATAAAGCTCGGCATTGACTATGTTGTATTTCGAGTGTTCCTCATACTTAGGTATTTTTCGTCGCATAACAATATCTATATTAATTATGTTTTACAAAAATAACATTTATTTTAAGTGTTTTATATTTGATATCAACTTATAAATAGAGTTAATAATAATCTTTACTTAATTGTTTCTATTTAGATAATTTGACAAATATGTTCAGTGTCCTACCACTTCAGTAGGATATGTCAAAATAATGAAACTTATTTTGTTTTTCTTAAGTATCCTTAATTAAACTTATCAATGGAGTTTCATATCTTGTCTGGTTACCACTTCCCTAGATTATTTATTCATAGTATATTAGTTCATAAACATTTAGTTTTAAGTTAATTTATAACCTATGCTGTGAATCATAAATGAAACTAAGTTTTTAGTCTTAACATGAATTACAATAGTTTAAAGGGTTGATCCATATTTGTAGATGATGAAGGCAAGAATATATTTTATCAAAGTATTAACAGATGAACGCTCGTTCTAACAAAAACTCATAAATCATCTAAAATTGTTGGCCAAATAATAAAATGTATAAAACACAAATAAAGAAAAACAACACAACATAATAATCCACCAAATACCAAATTTTGCAACAGAGAATCTGTTGGGAAAAACAAACAAAACATAGAGAAAAAAGAGAAACACAATCACAACACAAGAGCATAACATGGAAACTCCAAAACCAGAGAAAAAACTGTGACAGTTGTCAATAGACAACCAGAAAATAACACTATGTGAAGATTATTACAACACATAGTATACCTTTGACTAACCCAAACCTTCAGTACACCCACACCCTCCAAAAAAAATATTTAACTACTTCTCACAACACTCTAATACAAGAATATAAGAGAAAAAAAAGTAAAATACAAGTTTAAAGTGCTGTCGATTGGCGCATCTTGGAATGAAGAACTTGAATCTTATATATAGCCTTGGACTCCCCCTTCCTTCATAAAACTAAATGATGTGAGACTTCAAAGAACTTGTATCCTATATATGGTCTTTGACTCTCTCTTCATTCACAAGACTAAGCAATGTGATACTTCTTTAACATGTATATTTTCAACCAACCCCAACATTCCCCATCTTGATTGAAAATAATACATAAGCTTTTATTGTCTTCACCGACAATCATACTCTACCATAAAGAGTATCAACATGTATAGTTTCAACCAACCCCAACAATCTCCACCTTGAAAGAAAATAATACATAAACTTTCATTGTCTTCGCCGATAATCATACTCCACCATAAAGAGTATAGTCACTTGAAGCTATACACTCCAAGAATTTTCACATTGTCTTCACCGACAATCATAGTTTTAAAACTATCATACTCCCTCATGAAGAATATATTTCACTTGAAGATAAACCACTTTAAGAATTTCACATTGTTGTAACTGATGATCATATACTTCATCATGCATAATAAATTTCACTTTAAGCTAAACCACTCCAAAAATTTCACATTGTCTTTCCCATAATTTGGTCGTAACTCATTTCTTTGCATATGACCCACTGAATGATTACATCCCATTTTTTCTCATTGATTCTCATTTTGTTCACCACTCCATACATCAGGAAAGTTTAAATCGCCTTCTTTCATATTCGAATCATGATTAACCATTAATGCTTCATAATTTTTTTCAGCTATTCTGATTCCATAAAATCTCCCTCCTATAGCTCTCTCATTAATGTTGTGTTAAAATCCATCTCAGGTTTAGAAAATTCACCCTTCGAATTCCCATTGCTTACTTATTTTTAAACTTGGGTGTCAATTAAACATGTGAAGACTTGATCCTCCAATTTAATGATAAATATGTGAAATGTCCAACCTAAGCACTGAGCAATGTCCAACCTCTTATTATTCTCTATTACACTGTCCATGAAAATCATCTACCATTACTTACTCATAACTTTTCAAAATAACTTTCGATTCCAAAGATGAACTAAGATTCCATAAATATTAATCCATGTAATCTTCCATTCATCACCCCTCAAAATACCACTCATCTAAGCAACCAAACAAGTGTTGGAAGATTTATTTTGCTTCCCTCACCAAAGAATGAAAGTTTTTATCCTATTGAACATTTATGAATACATTATTTTCCCCATTGGATCACTTCCAACTAAAGGATCCCCACGTCCAAGAAAATTTGTTGCAACATTGATACTTCATCCATGTTATGAACTCTTTCCACAAACCCCTTCATTGCCCACTTGACATCCTCTTCGTATGCATTATACCTCATCACTTCCAACATTCTTCTTAATCATTTTTCTTTATATGTTGGTTATCATTTCTCTAATTCATTTTCTTCACCACCTAAGTGTAACTAGTAATAGGCAAACAAAACTTTCCTAGAGATTGCTCACTCTCTTTTCTTTTTCTTTTCCTAGAGATTGCCCACTCTCTATTTACGTTCTTTGGTTTTTCATTCCTCATGTTTTTACTCCTTCCATTAATCCATACTTTGTACGATCCAAGCCACACATTCCTAAACTATTCGTTTATCTTCCTTTCATCCGTCACCCATACAAACCTTACAAAGTCGAAATATGTCACTCCTTATTTTTCTTTGTTAGTATGAGTAAATCCATTAGTTCCCCGAGTCTAAAAAATTTTGCTTCGATCTTTACCGATTAGATGTCGTCTGAAATATTTGTGAAATTACACATAATAACATCCTCATATCTTTCTGTTTTGTCGTCTGTTCTTCTATGTCTTTTCTTCTTTCTGTCCCTCATTGAAGTTCAATTTAACTTTTTTTCTCACGCTCTTTGTGGTTTTTTAATTTTATTTTTATGTTTGTTATAATTTTTTTTCCTTTTTGAAGTGTCTCTTTCTACATTTTTGTTTATAACAGTGTTTAGAGAAAGTAGATATTAGATTGAATAGATTAAATTTGATAATTCGTATTGTATTCATAAGAGGCCAGCATGTTGTGATGTGGCTTGTAGCATGAGCTGAATTCTGAAATCCTAGCTATCACGTGGAATTCTCTCACCCTCACAAACATCACAACAATGGGACCCATCATCTTCCACCCTAAATCCCCTTTCTTCTCACACATAAGCAAAAACAAAATCAACCCCAAATTACCACCTCCACACGCGTCAAAACCATTTCTCTCGCAACAAAACCACATCCACTCTAAACTTCACCATGGAAGAGCACTCAGTAGGACCTTTAGTCCCTGCAGTAGTGAAACCAGAACCTTCCAAAAACTTTTCCACCGACACCACCGCCGCCGGCGAAGGTTTTCCGGTCCCCACCATGTCTGAGCTAGATAAGGACTTTCTCTGCCCGATTTGCATGCAGATCATCAAAGACGCCTTTCTCACCGCTTGTGGCCATAGCTTCTGCTATATGTGTATCATTACTCATCTCCGGAACAAAAGCGATTGTCCTTGCTGTGGCCATTACCTCACCAACAGTAACTTGTTCCCGAACTTCTTGCTCGATAAGGTTCACATTGCAATTCGTGTTCTTCACTATGATCTATCAATGCATGCTTAATTGCTATAGTTTAGTTGATGTTTTATGTTTTGAATTGTGAAATTTCGGTTTTGAAATTGCTTTTGTGATTAGATTAAAATTTAAGAAACTTCTTGTGTTAGTAATGAATTCGGTTTATAGATTTTTTCAATTTTGCGTTTCGGGACAGCTTTTTGCACATGTAACTGACTTAAGGTAGTATAGGTTTTTGTGTGGAATTTGAGTTTTTTTTAAAAATTTTTTTTATCTTGAATTAATTTACTTCGAAATGCAGCTCATTGTTAAACGGTTTCTGTACCAAATTTGTAGCTACTAAAAAAGACATCAGATCGTCAAATATCAAAGACGGCTTCTCCTGTGGAGCATTTCCGGCAGGCAGTACAAAAGGTTGGTGATACTCTCGCTATTTGTTTCGGATTGAATTTTTTCGGTGGTTACCTACATCTTTGTTGTTATTGATTTTGTTTTCACTCAATAGCTCATTGTTGCTTCTAGTTTTTCTTCTAATAATGAATATTTAGTTTTGAGTTTATTCAGGAATACATGACCTATAAAGCATTGACACTTCATTGTCGTGTATGTATCCACAGCGACACTACATCTATGCATATGGCTACGATCTACCACTTCCTTTTTTCAAATTATTCGCGTCACTATCAATGTCGTATCTAGTGTCGGTGTTTGTTTTCCACTATACATGACATTATATCTAGTTTTGACGAGGGGAGATTAAACAAAACTAGATAAAATTTTGACTGCTGTGATTCGATTGTTTACAATGCTAATTGTGCAACATGGAGAGGTATTTGTTGCCATATTAGACTATTTTTATTTTTTTGACAAAGCAATAGTAGTCCCTTTATCGTGCAGTCTTTGTTCCTATAAATCATGAATATAATTCTACAAGAAAGTCAAGTTCCAGAAAGCATAATGAAAGAGAATGATACTAATAGTTCCCCTGTACTTGGACTATATTCTAAAGTTTAAGGGCGCTGGAGGAATACTGTAATGCCTGTAGTGCCAGTTTCTTGCAAGAGGAAATATAAGTAGATTCATTAATTTACAATAGTTTGTTGAGAAGATCAAATAAAATAGTAGGCTTAGATCGAAATAGATTGTTAAGAATAATCTTATTTTTCTCTTGCACGACTGGCTTAGTTTATTGCTCATTGGCTGTCCATGTCAGCAATAGGCAATACCAACTTCTTTTGAAGCCTAGTGTAAAATGAGAACAAGGTCCATCATTCTCCGTTCTAATGGAAAAGTGCATCTCATAAATGTTAAAGTTACCTATTATCAACGCCAGACCCACCATTATGACAACTCCGTGTAGTTTCTTGAACAAAAATCTGTCATAAACTATTCATTTTGATTCTATGGCTATCACTTGTTCCCCTGATCCTCTCACAATAACACAATCCTCTCACTTGATGCATCTGTTTATGCATTTTGGAACACGAAATAACTTGGCAGAAGATGGAAGAGGAGGAGAGAGCCACTTGTTCTGGTGTTTAACATTTGTTATATAATTCTTTCAAATTTATTGTGTATATGCAACTAGATCAAGGATCAAAAATATTAGTTTTAAGTCTGGTCAATTTTCATTGTCTAATTTATTTTATGTAAGGATCTTAATTATATGTTAGATCTCTCATCAAGTGAGGTGAGTAGGAAGGAGAGTACTTGTATATTCTTGAGAGAGCAGACATGTAGTTTTTGTAAGGAAAGTAAATCAGATGAAGAATAGTCAAATCACTAGATGCTTAGAAAAATCTAGAAAAACTATAAAAGATAGAGAACTATCAAGAAATATATAGAGATTAATAAGTTGGATAGAAATATTTTATATGATAGAACATTATGCACAAGTTTGATCCATGTAGCCGACCTCATTTAGTGGGATAAGACTTGGTTGTTGTAGAGATTGCTATAGGAGGAGAGGCAGAGGCAGAGGCCAAGAAGGCCCAAACTGACTTTGGTTAATTTTGTCTAACTTCTATTTTCTGTTCAAGTGTGTAATTGTGTGAATCATCTCTGATTTGAGAACCCTTTCTTCAAAGATTATCTATAATAAATAGTGGTTATTCATCAATATTATCAATTGATACCAGTTTCTATCATTATATTGGAGATTTACCAGTTTATTAGCTTATTTGAATTTGTACATCTTTTGTACTGAAGATTACTCCATTGTTACATTACACTTACATATTTCTGTATCACGTAATGTATGAATCCTTGTTGATGCCTTTATTGGTGTGTGATACATATATGTTTTTAATTTTTTAAATCTTGAAACAGGGCTGCGAAGTGACGATGAAGGAGCTCGACACCCTTTTGTTACTCCTTACAGAGAAAAAAAGAAAAATGGAACAAGAAGAAGCTGAGAGAAATATGCAAATATTGTTAGATTTCTTGCATTGCTTACGCAAGCAGAAAGTTGATGAGTTGAAGGAGGTGTGCTGGATGCAATGTATCTACTTTATTTTTGACAAATATTACTCAGTAACTAAGAGGCTATTTGGTTTTAAAAAAATCTGGAAATGTTTTTTTATTAATTAATTTAAACTGGAATGAAAATATAAAACATTTTCTCAAACCAAATAGGTCCTTATATTTCAATTTTTTCTTTCCCCTGTTTGCATGTGGTGGTCTTTATTGTACTACTTAGATAAGTTTCTTTGTTGAATATATTTCTACTTATTGCGATCAACTGGTGTTTCATCTGTAGGTGCAAACTGATCTCCAGTTCATAAAGGAGGACATTGGTGCTGTCGAGAAACATAGAATGGATTTGTATCGTGCTCGGGACAGGTACTCTGTGAAATTGCGGATGCTTGATGATTCTGGTGGAAGAAAATCACGGCATTCATCAATTGACTTGAATAGCAGTGGTCTCGCATCTAGTCCTTTAAATCTTCGAGGAGGGTTGTCTTCAGGGAGCCATACTAAGAAAAATGATGGAAAGTCACAAATCAGCTCTCATGGGCATGGAATCCAGAGAAGAGATCCCATCAGTGGGTCAGATTCACAGTATATAAATCAATCGGGTCTTGCTCTAGTTAGAAAGAAGAGGGTGCATACACAGGTTATCTAGTTTAATTTTCTGTGCTTGAATTTTTTTATTTTATTTTATGTTTTTCTGAATATTTAATGGGTGTTTAGGAAAGCTTTTTGCCAGCAAAAATTTGTATCATAACCGGATAAAGGAATAGTTAGAATATAAAGTTATATCAATTATGGAAATGTTAGAATATAAAGTTGTATCACTGATACTTTTTTTATTTTATAATAATACTATACTCTTAATCCTAATCAAACAAGGAAAAAATATTGAAAAGTAAGATATATGGAAGTTGATTTTAAAAGATAACATAATAATGTGTTAAAATATTTTTCTTATATTCTAACATCCTTAAAGATATGTTAGTGTATATACTTGGGAGGACTTCTACAGAAATGGATGACAAGAATTATCATTATGGTGGTACCTTGATCTATTTCTTTGGACTGTAACTTTATTAGTTGATCGATGAGGGCCAGGAAAATTATGCAATTGGATGATTTTGAATTGTGCAAGTACGTTAAGAAAAGTCTAGCCAGGAAACAAATTGTATTTTGGATGTTTTAAATTTTAAAGGAGAGAGTGAGATGACAAAATATGAAGATAGGACTAGGAATCACACGCTGAGATGAACTGCATTCTTATCAGAATGTAGACTGAAACAAGCTATATGCATTACCAAATTTTCATCATTCTCTTATCTTTTTTTTATAAAAGTCTCGTCATCCTAAAGTCAAGCATTACATATACATTGTTGATTTACTGAATACAATAAGGCCATAAACTTGAATTCAAAACTCTGCAAACTTATTTTCTACCACAAAATTAATTTAAACCCAAACATCTTGATGAATTTTGAGACTCAAAGTCACAAATGAAGCCCAGTTACAATCTCACACTAGTAATAGGAACTGCTAAAATAACCATGAAACAGAAGTGCATTTAAATATAACTCTCATAGCAAAGTAGCAGACATCATATTGCTTATGAAGAATATAGACTTGTCTAAAATTCAAAATTCGATTCTGTTTTTATGTTGCTTCCTTTGTGTTCTTTATTGTCTTTCAACTTGAATTTTGCAGAAGGCTATGTGTTCTTTATTGTCTTATTGTTTCTATTATTGGATTTTTATCTGTACTTGGTTTATTTTCTCCCTCTATGAATCACATCTGATTTCCTTCCCTTGGTCCAGTTCAATGACCTACAAGAATGTTATCTACAAAAACGACGGCAAGCAGCAGATAAGCCACATGGCCAACAGGAAAGGGATACAAATTTCATAAGTCGAGAAGGTTATAGTTGTGGTCTTGATGATTTTCAGTCAGTCTTGACAACTTTCACACGCTACAGGTATTACTATCTGTCTTTTTTGTGTCATTTGTAATATCAATTCATATATTGTTGGGATCGAAGCGAAAATGGTCATTTTCGTGGAAGAATAAAGGGAGTCAAAGTAGTTAGTTAGGGATAGTTAGGGAATTTAGATAGTTAGAGGTGGATCAATTTGATAAATGTGGGAAATAGGGTAGAATGGATTAAAAGATTGTCTTCTATGTGAATTGAGCAAATGCTCTACTATAAGAGGGGAAACCCTTTGTTGAATTGATAGGATTTTAGGTGTAAGTAAGAAGGGAATCAAATGAACTAAATACTTTGAATTGTTAATATTGTTAGCACGTTTCACTCTTTAGGTCTACTATCTCATATTTAGCTTGAAAGCTTGGGTTTAAGATAGTTCTCACCATGTTGAATTTCAATTGAAACAGTCGATTGAGAGTCATTGCAGAAATAAGACACGGGGATATATTTCATTCAGCCAACATTGTTTCAAGGTGAGTTATTTTATGAAATTGCCCATGGAACTTTTAATATTCATATGGTATTTGCCTCTATAGTCCTGGCTTTAAAGAAATAAAATAATCAACATTTTTATTTCAAGCTATTGTCGGTTACTGCATTATGGTTAGCCTCAAAGTCATGCTATGGGTCAACAGTGGCTGTGTTCTTAATTTAGTCTGTAATGTGTTATTTCTTTATATTGTAATAATGTGCATGACCAGAGATACATTTGATTCTTTTTGTTGTGAGAAAAGGTTTTATCTTTCTTTTGTTGTTTTCCCTTTCATTAAATATTGGCAAGGATTGGATGCTAAGGGGTTTTGGCATCTTGAAGAGTTATGTTCTTCATCATCACTTCTCTAAACATTCATTTAACTTGAAAAGTCATCATTCTTCATCTTGAAACCTTTTAGTTTGCAGTTTCTTTTTTCTGTACACCTTTGATTTCACATGGTCTTATATATCTATGGATGGATAATGAGGATTTTACATCATTATGTATAGATATAATATGAAATCAATCTCGGATAGCGGCAGGACCATATCTCCCCAAAAATGGAACGGACCAGGAGCAGGGAGCAGAACGGGCATTATTTTAGTGATGCGGACACTAATATAGTTAATGCTAAACACACAATTGTTAAAAAAACTAACATAAATTACTCAATTCATGAAATATCCGTAGTTAGTAATAAAAGCCTCAAGTTTTAAGCAAAACATACTTGCCATTGTTAAAAATTTAAGGGTAATATTGTATTCAGCTGGTGCGGGCAGTCCCAGCCATGTCAGTGTGACGTTGTTTCAAATCCGATCCCATTATCGTGGCTGTTCCAGCCGAGTCACCCATCTATGCCGTTCACGGCCTGGCGCAGTTTTCTTGGTTGTGCCGTTCTGTGCCGAGATAGCGGCTGGAATGACCGAGTTTAATAAAATAGTATATAGCAGGACATCTTAAAAGTTCAGTAGGTCTCACGTGATTGTAACTAAGACACCCTGGTTGTGAACCTCTCATCTTACTTACTAAAGTAGTGAGACTGGCCAACTCAGTTTTTGCTTTAAAGACGTTGGTGACTTTTAAATCCTCTTTCAATGTTGATATTGGTCAAACAATGCCATATTCTCTTTTCCCAACATTGACATGAATCATTTGGCTGAACTTATGTGTTTCCCTTTTTGCCTGAAACATTTGTCTTCAGGTTCAATTTGAATGGTAATTTTTATGACCTGAAAACAATCGAATGTTGAGGTCCTTATTTAGCCGAAATTTATTCCAACTGAGACAATGCAAAATCTCTTGTAGATCAGTACATTGATATGACTGTTAGTATTTGGTCGAACAATTAAAGCAAAGGGGCTTGATATTTCAGCTGAAAGAGCATGAAACTGTAACTATTTTATATTCTTTATCCTTATCTTCGCAGAGTGAATATTTAAGATGTAGTTTATGTCGCGATGTTGAATCTTCAATGATATATTCTAATACTTGGTCCCTAATGGCCTTGTTATCATGTTTATTATCATAGAATTTTAGGTCTTGATCTGTTGTTACGTTACATATGGGACATACTCTAAACTCCCTCTTCATGTATGTTTGAATTTCATGCTGGATTTTTATCCAACTACCTACATTGTCAATGAATACTATTTTCACTGAATGCGCGGATTCACCATGTGTATTGCAGTATAGAGTTTGACCGTGATGATGATTTGTTTGCTACTGCTGGAGTTTCTCGACGTATCAAAGTTTTTGATTTTTCTGCGGTAAGATGGATGTCATTTACTTTTCTAAAATTTTAATATCATTTTTCTATTTTCTTTTCTTTTGATAGGTGAGTAACAGTTCTGTGACTGTGCTTATATATGGATTATGTCAGATAAATACTTCAATGAGATAGATCCTCTTATGTTAAAACATTACATTTCCTTGTCATTTGAAACATTTAAGTTTTGTGTTTATCTCTTTAATTAGAGATCTCTTTAATTAGAGACATTAAATAGATGTAACACCTTAAGCTAGTCACAAGGGTATCTGATGGAGTCTAATACAGAGAAAGTTGTAATGCTGGGTTAGTGGTTGAGAGAAAAAAAGAAGATAGTAGAAAGTAGTACTTTAAGTGGATGCAATTGTTGTATTGCTTTTACTAATCAAGAGATCCAAGCTTCTCCCTAGTTCCCATTCTAATTCTCGCCAATTGTCCTTTTCTAGAGTAACACGCCTTAATGTAAAATAATGGTAACATGCCTTGTTTCTTTAACTATCTCAGCATAACTGTTTGAGTTTCTTAAATAACATAGCTATACGAGGATTTTGGTTAATATATGGTTGTGTGGACGGGGAAAATCCTCTCTGTCAAACCTCCATGCTCTGCAAATCACTATAAATATTCCTTGAGTATTTAATAATACACCGACTGGTTTTCTTGGTTTATTCTTTTGGAAATCAAAATTTGATTTTATTTTGCTCCCTACCAAGTTCACTCTTTTAATGTTGCCAAAGCTAATATAAAAAGATCATTCCCTATGTTTTTGCATTTCAGGTCGTGAATGAACCCACAGATGCTCATTGTCCTGTTGTGGAGATGACTACACGTTCAAAACTTAGTTGCTTGAGTTGGAACAAATATGCTAAGAACCAAATAGCTAGTAGTGATTATGAAGGAATCGTAACTGTTTGGGATGTGACCACTCGAAAGGTAATTGTGACTTGAATGGACAGTTTTTCTTGTATCATCTGTTTGGGCATCTTAGTCTATATACTTGCTGTTTTTCAGAGTTTTCTTTTTTTTTTTTTTATAAATTTTTTTATGACTATCGCTTTCCTTTGACAGAGTTTAATGGAATACGAAGAGCATGAAAAGCGTGCATGGAGTGTTGATTTTTCAAGAACGGATCCCTCTATGCTTGTATCTGGTAGTGATGATTGTAAGGTATTCTATAACATTCATGAAAAGTGCCTTTATTGATTTGTCATTTGAGAGTTTGCAGGCTTTTGCGTTTTACTTGCACAAATTCAAATTTATTGGCATGCTAATTGTTTTCACTTGCTCCCAAATGGTATAATCTGAACGGATAAGTGATCAAATAGTAACCTTTTCTAATTTTGTTTTGATTATTGAAAGTGATAAACCAACTGTAATTTCTGTATACTTTGAGCAGGTAAAAGTCTGGTGTACAAATCAGGAGGCCAGTGTTATAAATATAGACATGAAAGCAAACATATGCTGCGTGAAGTATAATCCTGGATCTGGGAATTACATTGCAGTATGTTCCTTTTCATTCAGTTAGTACTTGGTAGAGAATATCTCGACTTAGTTCTCTCAAAATTTGATCCCATTTGTTTATCACCTTGTAATTTATCACTCGTCTGCCATCTCGTGGCTTCGCTAGTATTTCAAAGCAATATGCTTAATATTACATTTTTATAACATTTTCTCAAGAACTTGTTATACATTTTGATCTTATTCATTTTAATTTTAGCTAGACTTATTCAGTCAAACATTTTTACAGGTTGGGTCAGCAGACCATCATATCCATTATTATGATTTGAGAAATATTAGCCGGCCAGTCCATGTTTTCACTGGGCACAAGAAAGCTGTTTCATACGTGAAATTTTTGTCCAACGATGAACTTGCATCGGCATCAACAGATAGTACACTGCGGTTATGGGATGTGAAGCAAAACTTACCAGTAAGTAATCTAACAAAAATAGTTCATTGCTTTGGTTTGATTATTGTCCAAATTATCTTTCATTAATTCTACATTTAGTTTCTAGATTTTTGTATTTTCTAAATTAGAGTGTTGTAAATGGGTACAGGTTCGAACTTTCAGAGGCCACGCAAATGAGAAAAACTTTGTTGGCCTTACAGTAAGCAGCGAATACATTGCATGCGGCAGCGAAACAAATGAAGTATTTGTCTACCACAAGGTTTGTGATCTTTGATTATTCAGACGGTTTTCTTGCATAAGTCTTTTAAATAGCTAAGAGTTGTTGAATCATCCTTTGCAGGAAATTTCGAAGCCTCTGACATGGCATAGATTTGGTACCCTAGACATGGAAGACGCGGAGGATGAGGCGGGATCTTACTTCATCAGTGCTGTATGCTGGAAGAGTGATCGCCCCACCATACTAACTGCAAACAGTCAAGGCACCATCAAAGTGCTGGTGCTTGCTGCTTAAATAGAAGAAAAAAATGAACAGAATGCTGAATCGGTATTAGTTGTTCCTATGCTACAAATTGTTGTACCATTAAAATTGTACAGAGTATCGAAGTGTATATGATAGGTTTTAGGGATCTTATTGAGTTATTAGCTGAGGATTACCATATGTTCAATCAATTAAGAAACTAAACTTTTGCCAATTAAGGATATCAAATTTAATAAAATAAATTAGTTTAGAATTAAGCAAAGCCAAAAGGAACTAAAGGTTGGAAAGTAGGGATCAAAATTTTCAGTGTTACATATTATTGGTATGTATGTATGTAGCAGCATAAAAAAAATGGAATTAGTTTTGTAGTAACTAATACAAACTCTTATGGAAGCACGAAACCGACATTGACACATCTATGGGGATTTGAAAAAATGAATTAAACGTAATAATAAGCATTAGATAGACATTCACATGAACACACTTTTTCTCAAAGGTCTCTCGGTAGGTCTTGATGCTACCTTGAGTAAGATATGTGCAAAAAAACCGGTGCACCCATTATTGCAACTGCACTGAACCCCTTAAAAAAGACCTAACCCAGTTTTGAATTTGGTTAAAACACAGGGTACTGCAATCTGAATTTTATTTCTTGTTCATTATATATTCTCTAAATTTAGTTCACAGTGAAAACAAAGTCAAAAGTGTGAGAGGCAATAGACACTAGGGGAACACAATTCATCAACAAAATCAACAATCCAGTCTAAATAAAATCATGAACTACAATTAACCAACACAAATTTGCATGAAGAAATTAAGTTATCACTAAAAACATGAGACGTTTTTTTGTCCATCTTTTTAAAAAAAGAAGTTTTAAAGATGTTTCTTTTCTGAAAATCAGTTTAAAAACCCAGATTTTTAGAATCTGTTTGTAAATCGATTATAAAATTACAACCCATTTCATACCAATTTCAAACACTTCACAAAATCTTTTTTAGTTCATATAGACAGTTAAATACTGAATTTGAAAATAGTTTCTTGATTGACTTTTTCTCTGGTCAAATTTTACTTTGTTTAATGTGCTTCATAACCTATAGACCTTAAAATTATAAGTTGATACAAAATTTCTTGGCATTATGGTTATGTTTTAGTTAGAGATTTCTTCAAATTAGAAGAAGATGGTATACACGTTTAACTAATTTTTTATTCATTCGTCAAAATCTATATATTAGTAATTTTATTAAACGATGTAAAACATATAAATCCATTTTTTACACACTCCATACTACAAATCATAAACTTTGTTATCCTAAATTTTGTTTTGTATTTACTACGGATATTTAATTTAATATTCTCAAAACATACATACAATGTTTACATGTGAAATAAACTATATCATCACCAAGGAGCAGCAAACAAATATTAAAACTAACATAAAACACAATATTCAAAGATTTCTAACTAACCGACCAATTAGAGATGGTAGAGAAACTAAAGGATGTTAAAGAAAATAAGGAGATATAAGTCAAAACTATTTAACAAATAAACATTCCTTAAAAAAACTTTTCTTTTATTATGAAACAATCATTCTTGAATAATGAATACATTTGTTGTATACAAAATATTACATACTAAAAAAAACCTAACTAAACTAAAAATGAAGAGAAAGAAGCCATACATAATAATTATTATTGAAAAACAATCTAAAATATAAGAGATGATTTATCATCATATACTATTCTAAATTTATTACAAATAATCTTGACCTAGATTATTAAAGATCTTGGACTTGCAAGGTCAAGAAAACTTATAAATTATTTAAAAAATAAAAAATAGTAAAACAAAAACATAAGAAGAATAAGCTCAGGAGAGATATCGCCATAACATTCACCACAAGTTCCTTTGATCTTCACCACCTTGAAGATCCATGAAAAAGAAGAAGAACATTGTGACCATTTCTTGTATGAAAAAACACATGTTTTGAACCCTAGAGAAACTCAACTTGAATATAGCTGCATTGCATGTATGTAAGAGATGTGTGAAATGTGTGAGAGGGAATGGAATAATGAAGCTATATATATAATGAAAAGTAGAGATTGAGGAGGGTTATGAGAGATGAAAAAAATGAGAGGAAATAAGGAAATAAAAATGACATGAAAGACAGAGGCAGTGAATATAGGTGATGATTACCTGCACATAAAATTAGGGTTGATGTGTCCCTTTCTAGCTAGGGTAAGACAGAAAGGATAATGAGAGTTTGTTTTTCTTGGGATATGCACCCCTTTATTCCTTGCTTGGACCCTCCCCTCTTGAAATTTTTTGCTCATTAATTTTAATGTCAGCCTCTTGGCCTACTCATGCTGACATTCTTGCTACCATTATGAAAAAAAATAAAACCATCCTTTTCTTGTATCAAAAGTACTTGATCACATTTATATGCTACAAATTGTCTAAAAAATACTATTTGAAATTTAACATAGTTTTTATTAATTTTTTTGATTAACTAATAAACCAATATTCATTCCATAAAACTGAAAAAAATGAGATAAAGTATATTCGAATCTCCAATTACAATTAAATATCTCAGTTAAGTTATCAATTGAACTGTCATACCGAAAGAATCAAAATTTTATTTTTACAAATATAATTTTTATTTTATATTCTTTTATTTATCTCGTTATAGAACCATGGTCAATTTTATTGAAGAAAATCATTTAAAGGTTATTTAAAAATAAATAATGATATATAGAAGTCAAAAACTAATTTAATCTTTAATTTTTAACATATACTTAGTAATTAACACTCTATGTACGAACCACTTGGAAGTTATATCATTATCTTATTTTATTTTTTATGATAATAAAAACATACAAGTAACTAATTAAGATAATTTAATAAAACCATTATATATAGTATACAACCCTTATTATGGAATGAAGAAAGTAAAAAAAATGTTTACTTTCAAGGGTGAATTGTTTTTTTTTGTTCATTAATTATGTACTATGAGGTTCACTGCATTGTACTACCATATTCCTTTTGCTACAATTTCGTGCAATATTCTCCTCCTCTTTAATCATCAACATTTAATACCCTACTCAAGAAAATTACAATTTTATATCTCTACTTATTAACCCTAGTAATATATTCTTGTCATTTTACTAAACTGCCCTCAGTAATTAAAAAAACACATTGTTTACTATTTCCATTGAAGTTCAACATGAAAACATGTTTGAAAGCATCTTTAAAAATCACAAAAACCATGGTTTTGATTCTAAGACATAGTTTGAAACAAACCAACATCCTAGAAACATGTTTTGAGTCATAGCTACACCACTGCATGGCTGTTAGCTATAGTGACAGAGAAACCATAGTTATTAAGGTAGCTAGTTTTTGACTTTTGACCATAACAAATTTATTACAGCTCTGCAATGTTTTCAACCACTCGTGACTCACCAAAACCCACAGGACCACAAACAAAGGTTGTAATAATTTTGATTCTCAACACAACAACAACAGTTTTATGTAATTGGTCATTCCCATCCAATCCAATTCATTGCATGTTACTACTACAATATAGAAAAATCCATAACTTCATTATTATATATATATATTCATTTTGTTTTTTGTTTCCCTACCATATATTCTGAGTTGACAAAGATATAACATAAACAAAGTCCTATGAAGTTTGCTACAAAGTGAATGTTGTTTTTGTCACATTGTCTTGTCTGTGTGAAATAAATTCACACAAAGCAAAACCCTAATATTAATGGTGGCAGTGAAAGGTCAATCTCAGATGGGGTTTGGTATTAAATGTGGAAATTATAATATTTTTTAAAGGAAAATAAAAAAAAAAGAGACATGACTAAAAATGGAAAGTATAACATAAAAAGTAAGTCAAGGTAAAAAGTGAGAAAAGAGTGTAAAAAAAAAATATAGACTGAAATAGTAATAATGTTTTTGGGGACCAGGAGGAAATGAAATATTTACCATGGCTGTAACACTGAAACACTGAACAAATTTGGATTTGTGGACAGAGTGAGGGAAATTGCAATTTATGATTCCCAAATTTGATGATATAACTGACAAACTTTTAATGTTTGATTCAACATCCTCGTGAAGTTTTCATCATGAAATTTTATCGTCATGTTAGGTCAACCATAATGTGTTGTGTGATATCAAGGTGGTATATATGTTTTTTTAACCGTGATAGTTATTTTTACGTAGTTTGAAATTTGATATAAATATGAATAGAAAAGTTAAGTTAAAGAAAAGAAATTAGTAATATTATAATGGCTGCTGCAAGTTTAGCAGAAAAGTGTCTGCTGTTTCGAAACAGTTTGAATGTAGGGATCAAAGGAAGTCTCATAAGCTTAATTTGGCGGTGGATTTGGTTAAAGATAAATGAGATGCTTTCCAAGAGATGTGTAAAAAGAGTGGAAGGAGTAATTGAAAAGTAATATTAGTGGTTGATAAATAATATTATATCGTTGCCGATGTATCTGGTTTTAATTTTTAAGATTTTCAAGGTTTGAAAATGGACATATATATATATATATATATATATATATATATATATATATATATATATATATATATATATATATATATATATATATATATATATATATATATATATATATATATATATATATATATGACACTAAAAAAAATTGGTATAAAATCTTACATAAAATGAAAAGTCACCTTTTACAAAAGTGAAATTTACGAGGGAGTAGAGCACCTTAGAATAGACATCATTACAGGTTCAAGAAAAGAAGGTTTGAGGGGATTGAATTGAGTTTTTAGATTTAAAACTTTTTGCAACCCAAGAATACAAACAACAAAGATAAACAACACAAGTATTTTTATCTTGGTTCGCTATTAACGAAGCTACATCCACCCCGCTGTTTGATTGATTTCGCATTTTCAATAAGGACTTAATCCAATAATCAAACTGATTACAAAACTCAAAGACAATCTGTCTAAGACTTTTTAAGAATTCTGACTATAACTTAGTCTCTCAAGGAATTGCAACT